TAGGAAGCTCCTTCAAGGCAAGTCAGACCAAGGACCTCATCACCATCAGAACCCCAAAGGTACTGCTTGAGAGGTTGTTTCAGTCGTTTTACGTGTGACTACAAGAATGGCACGAGGAAGGACAAAAAGCAGGGATTACTTTCAGTACCAAGCCCAGACTTATGCCAAATGAAAACACTGCTACCAGTGAGATTCTTACAGAGGAAACCCCACCTCCAGGCAGAATGTCTGTGCTGAATTTAGAAGAGTTCATTGGTGAGATAAAGATGCCTTTTTAAGAAGCATCTTCTCAACAGAATTAAAAACAAATAAGTGGTCAATATATTCAAGATCTGAAAATCAAGATCTGAAAAGATAACTGGAAATAAAATAATTGATTTCAATATTTTAATTTTTCTATTTTACTGAGGCATCTTGTGAAGCTGAAGTATAAATCCTATTAAACTGAACTTAGTTTGTCCATTCCTAAAATAGACTTGACATACAAACACAAACACAAGGTCAAGGTCACAGATCAGCAAGAAAGATTACAAAGAGGCCTGATGTAAGAGCTGGCATTTGAACAAAGCTCCTAGATATATTTTTTTTCAGTATGCTTACCAGAAATATCGCTACACTACATTTTCTTCACATTGGTACATTACATGTTTAAAGTATTCCCTACCTTTAAGAGCAGCTGCCCTGATACTTATTTATTTTGACAAGGTATGTTAGGCAGTATACCAAGTAAATTAAAGAAGAACCCATATGTTAAATGAAAAGGGAGCAGTGGACACTTTTTGTCATGCTTTTCACTCTGTTCAGCTATGTGATGATACATATGAAATCAAAAGTCCAAAAGGGAAACTCACAAATATAGGACATGACAGTAAGACCACCACTACAGAATCAGGACCAGAGTTTATAACTTCATGCAGTCCAAGTTACTTATCTTAACATAGCAACTGTGTATTTGGATGTGCATTTCCAAGCACAGCAATTGCTTATTCATCCTAATCAACTGTGTGCACAGCATATATTTCTCAATTAAAAAAAACCAAAAGAACTCTTAACACAAGGTCTGCGCTCAACACAATCAAACTAAGCTCTTCTGTAATAAGGACAACATTTACCTTCTAGAAAGCTTCTTTAATGCTGAACACTGAGTAAGTGAGCAGATTAAACACAGCAGCAACAGTTGAAAGACTCATTAAAACTCAGTTGCTGAAAATAGTTAGCAATGAAAGTCATTCACTGATCTATCCATCCATCTATCCATCCACCCACTGATAGATACATTCTCAAAGCTTTAAACACATGCTGAAGAGTATTTAGCTTATGGGTCACATCCACCAGACATACCTTCCTATGCTTAACAAGAGGAAGAAAAGGTGCCTTGGGGTGACATAATGTCATATGACATTCAAAGATTTACTGCTCCCACAAAGTTTAGATGATCACTGCAATAAACAGTAACATACAGAATAGCACGCCTTGTACTCTTACTTCTGAACCTCTACTTTCAGTACCAGCACGGCTCTGATGTTAGTCTAGACATGACTGGGAGCAGTTTATACTTAGACAAAGAGCCATGTCTATAAATAGGAGCATTCAAGTTTGCATTAAAGCTTTTACTGGAGCCCATCTGGGGTGACCTGCACAACTCACTTACATGCAGGCATCTCAGACATTGCCAGTAAAACCTTCATACCATCACACACCCTCCTGCATCTTGTCTCAGCTGTGCTTCAACATTTGTGCTTCAACTGATTTTTCTCCATTTAATTCTCCTATGGGTGTTAGATTTGCAGCACTCTTTCTGAAAGGCTGTTTTTTTTGAATACATACTTCATAAGAATTAGATTGTCACCTTTCTATGCTATAGTATTGCCTGATCTACTAGAATCAGATACAAATCATCCTGAAGTCTGGGATACAAGCTTCTCAGTGCAACAGTGTAGGTGTTTTTAGCTCTGATAGTGATTCATCAGGTCTTAAAACAGTTACTGCTTTAAGATCACACTGAATTAACTTGTAGACCTTGGAGCAATAGAATTCTACTCTTCCTTAGCCCCTCCTTTTCTAAAACCTTTCAGCAAAATGGGAGAAAACGGGAGGTTTGGGTTTGTTGTTGGGCTGTTGTTTTGCTTTGTTGTTGTTGTTTTGCCTTGTTTTCCTTCAAGCAGAATTTCTATCCTTCCCATTTTGTGAAAGGCTGATAAAGCTTTTCGCTGCACTGAAGTGTTAGGAACGAAAAAAAAAAAAAAAGAAAAGAAAAATTAAATCAGGCAATGATTATGATTCAAGATTAAAAAAAACAACCCAAGATTAAAAAAAAAACCCACAGAAATCCCCCCCCCAAAAAAAAAACAAACAAAAAAAATTTCATTCAACATCCACAAAAAAATCCGTAATGTACTCTGAGAACCAAACACGTATGAAAATGTGAATATGTATTTCACAACCAAAAACATTCTAGGAAACACAATCGCTTATTAGCAGTACAGCTATCCAATACTTCAGACTCTAAAGCAAGTACACTTGGAGTAACATAGCTTATTTAAGTTTACTAATGCATGAAAATTGGAATAGGTAAAAAAGCTTCTATGTTAATTGAACTATATTACAGAGAGTAACTGTTCATTCACTATCATTTTAGGTCTTCTCTCATGCTTATACAATGAAAAACACTTTAATCAGTATAACCAACCCTTTAATAAAAAAAGTCAGCATCAGTTAGGTGGATGGTGGTTGGGTTTGGTCTTTTTGGAGGGTTTTGGTTTTTTTTTTTTTTTTTGGTAATGTTTTTGTTTTGGTTCCTCCCCCCTTCCCCCCCTCCATTTCTTTTTTCCTATTAAATACATGCTGACACCCTTTATACATATAACCTGCAAGAGCAGGAGGCTTCTGCTAGTTCTGAATTTTTAATCAAATCCCCCACTTTTCAAGCAGCAGGGATGACGCAGGTGCTACCAGCAGCCAGTGGCAGTTTTGGGCCCAATTCTATTCCATTCCATTTCTCTATGTCTCTGCCTCTTAAACGGCTTTCTGCACAGAGATACTAAGGTAAACCATTTCAAGTGTGCTGTCTTTTAAGGGGTGCTAATAACAAACTGCAATAAATGACTAGCCAATATAGCAACAAAAATGAGTATGACAGCTAGCACAAAGAGAGTACTTCTGGTCAATTTAGTAGTCAAGCAGTCCACAACAATGGACTATCTTGAAGCACTGGATGGCTTCCAATGCCCAATCCTGTAAAGGTACATTAAAGGAAAATAAATTACATTGTCTGTGGCTATACTTACATATGTGAAATCCCAAATCAAGTTTTTAAAAATGTTAAAATATCGTATCAATGAATAATTTAGTAGTAAGTCCTTGAACTTTTACTTTTTACTTATTTTCCCTAATAAGTAGGTCTGTGGATTTTAACAGGATAACAAAATAATGACACGTTATTTTGCATATGCTCAGGTTTGTGCATGAGACAGGCATCTAATTGATGCAATATATATTAAGGTTGCAGAATTGGGCACATGATAGATGTACATCTACTATACTGAAAACCAGCAATACATTACCAGTTTAAGCATCATGACTATTACAAGCAAACTGGTTCACATTCAAAATTTGAATATTCTTCTATTATTCAGGACACAGCATAGGATTTCCTTTTTCAAACAAGAGGTGTGAAATCAGTTAACTCAGCTTTCCCAATCCTCAAATTGCTCAACACACACCAACTATAGCTGGTGATCTGGTTTCCCACATGCTTGAAGTCTGGTACAGATTCTGATTCTTCATCTAGCAAAATTGGCTGGTGGTAACAATGAAAAGCAGTGTGAGGTAGGTGGTGAATCTGCCTCTGTAAATCTTGCCTTAGCTTTGGGGGAAAGGAGGCACGGACAGGACAGATGCGACATGACACCTACAGAAATATTTCAAAGTTGCAATTACAGTTTTAATCTGTTCCCTTAATGTCTACTGATAAACTGGGGGGGGGGGGGAAATTACCATAAAACAAAAGGTTCATGAATCTAGCAAATGAACCTGTGAAAATCCATGAAAATACCTTAAATTATGTATCACGTAGTATCATGTATAATAGTTATTTTCCATAGCTACAACCCTATTGATTCAGCTGATCAGGCTAGGTATTATTTCCAGCTTCATGGTAGAGATTTGAGCATGGCTGACAGGTCACAGCTCCTGTCCTTTGTATATGTAGCCATCTTTGCTTGATGTATGCAGAAGAGCAATTTCCCAGCTCAATATACCATCAATAAGTAACTCACATTTTCTATATATTGAATCAATATATAGTAAGGTATTGTTGATGACCTGAAGATAAATTTCATTGACTGCCTGTAATCTCACTAAATTGTACTTTTGCTTCTTCTATTAGCCTTACAAGAATCCTGCCATAACACTAGGAAAGAACATTTTCGTTCAACCCTTGTTGCTAAATTCCATCAGTGAGCAATACCAAAAGAACTTCACCGAAGACTACATTGATGTGATTTCATTCCACAGCAGTTCAGGCTGATGTGTACCTGCAGCATCTTACAGAACCACAAGCAGATTCACAAATACCAAATTAATGCAGAAGCAAATCATACTGGCCAAGGGAGGTTCAAATCAAACAGGCAACAAAGGAAGAACAGAGGAGGGGGGAAAACCCAACCCAACTGAAACCAAACAACTAAAACCCCACTCTTCTCAAAGAGACTTCTTGCTCTAAAAGCATATAATTTAAAATCCATTTGCTGAGAAAAGTTTTGGTGGGCAGGTAATCACATCTATGGCTTCCCTGGAAACTTTCAGCAGATTGTTATCTTGGCAGTTAGCAACCTCAGGAAAAGGAGATCAAAGACTATCTGGGGATGTGAAATAGACTCAGAATTTTTAAGGGGGATACAGTCAAAGCTAGTGTGAATTAGATAAAGTTACCACTCCACACCTGGGGTGAGAAAAAAATACAGGTTAGTAAACTCAAGTTCAGGGGCAGAGATTCGTACCTTTCAATTGTCAGTGCTGGTTCTTTGTGAATCTGCTTTTCACTCCACCCTGCCAAAAATAAATACATTCATATCAGGATGCAGAAACTTATGACGAAAACAAATTTTATTTCTACTGTAACAGGAATGTCATTCTGTTAATTGAGTATCAGCTCATGACAGGGAGTACATCTTGCTTCTTAACAAGGTATCAACAGACTAAAATAGTTTTTGCCTGAAGTTGGTTATATCCGTGGTCAGTTTGTGACACTACCAGAGCTTGACCAGCAAAAAACTGAGCTGAGCAAGCTGGTAAAGGTAACCTGCCAGGAGAGAGATAAGTCTCCTCACCTTGTTAATGCTATCCACTTTGTCAGAAAAAGTTGTTATCAGGAGATTACCTTTATGCTGACACTCCCGACTATCCATTAACCACAATGACTCCAAAAAAGAAAAACAAACGACAACCAAGCAAACAGCACACACCTTTGACACTGCATCCTCCTCCTCTAAAAATCTTACTCATCTTCTCCCACTATTATCCTGAAGTTACTCTAGTCTTCTCTCAGCTCCCTACTTCTACAACCACACTTCTGTAACATTACGGACATCAACAATCCTTCCACACTACACAAAACACAGCTGTTAGTGTAATCCTTTCCCCTCAAGGCACTCTGACCATATAACCCTTTACTTCAAGTTTTCAATTGTTTTTCTATTGCTCTAGGTTGAATCTAAAATTTCTCATCAAAGTTCTACAGACATTAATAACCTTACTTCTATCCACACAGCCTAACCACTTACTGTGTCCTTCTTCCTTACTCTTTTGTTTCCACAAACACTCATGTTTACTGTAATACTCAGGCACCTCTCACAGGAAATTCCATTATGCTTCTGCACTGCTCCCCCCAGGCAAAGATCATCAACACTCTGGAGGCTATTTCTTCCTCTGCTCCAACAGTAAATCACTGTAGCAAAAATGAATCCAAATCCACCCAAAATACTTCCTGCAAAACCACAAGCCAAAACACAAATGATGTATGCTGCTTGCCTTTCCTCACAGATTCACACCACACTATTTGTTCCCTTTCCCTCATCAGGCTGTATGAAGTTTAAAACAAATACACTGCACCTGCGAGATGCTGAGTACATACATTATACGAATTCAGCTGGGCAACAATTAAATGAAGCCCTAGAGCAATACTGGCCTCCAGAATAAGCCTGTTTTCCCTTCTCTTACAGAAGAAAAAACACCTTTATTGTTTTTGCAGTGCAACAATACATGCTGCTGTAATAATACAGATTCACCCAAAACCTTTCTTTTACTACATATGATTGGAGAGGAAAGAAAGAGTGATACATGCTAAAAGATCAACAGAACACAAAGATTAATAATATGGGGAAATGGGTACAGGAGGGCTAAAATATAATGTAGAAAGAAGAAAAACCAGTATCCAAGGGCTACCCTTATCTTGAGCTGCTGCTATTAAAAACGTAGTGAAAGCACCTTCCCTTCCCTGGCTGGTACAAGGACAATATCCTTAGCCCAACACAATCTGCTATCCCTTCAGAGAGCACAGATGGAAGAATGACCAGAGAAGGAAAGGAGATACTGCTCCTAGGAAAAAGCCTTCTCAGAGAGATGTTTTTTTTTATTTTTTTTAATCATGACAGCAAATGGTACCAAACACAACACGAACAAGTAAACTTTTGAGGAGGAAGATGAAGGCAGAGAGAGTACCTGCCTCAGGTACCAGCTAAACATAAGATCTCATTCAATGACACAAAGGAGGACTTTTGTATCTCAGTCACCTTAATGAAATTACCTTCTGAGCCCAAACAGCAGACTTAACTCTGTAAATTCTCCACCTCTTGGAATATAATTTCTCCTTCTATTCCTCAGATCAGAGGGATTTGATTCACTAGGTCTACCTCTGATTTCAGTTTTATTGCACATAAAACTTAACCCTTCCTTCTGAAGTCCCTTTGGTATCTTCTCTATTAAATCACATAACCCAAAGCTTGCCTGTAGCACTTCTGAAGGTGAACTGTTTGGCTTACTGAGAACAAGCTACTGTGATGCAAATTCCACTCACCTTCTCTATATGCTGCCAGGTTTACGAGATCAAGTCTGTCTGTGCTTGACATTTGCTGGGAAACACACCAGCATAATTACTATTGTAAAACATTTTATATTCCCGTACATTTTACACTATGACCCAAAAGTGCTTGCGAGCTAAAACAAGATACAGGGATAACTAACTGGAAAGGAGGAGCTGTAGGGGGAAAGGTAGGTATAAGGTAGAAAAGCATCAATGGCAGGTGAAGACAGTGAGGCTATTCAAGCTGCCTGGGACACTGTCTCAGAAGCATAAAGTCCCCATGTAAAAGAGCAGCAGAAACAAGATGATGTAGGACAGTGCAGACTGTGAAAGGACATAGGCAACCTGCTTCATTAAGATATAAAGCCAGAGATGAAATTTAGGTAGCATGGTTCCTAAAACACGAGCTGTTTTTCTCTACCATTGTAGGAAGCATTTCCACTGCACTGCAATAAACATCATGTTACTATGCATACGGACAGGAAGTAAAAGTCTTCAGGAGTTTAGATTATTTTTATTGGGATCTTGACCAGGGGAACAAACGGGAGGACTGCAAGATCTGAAACATCTTGACTGTAATCTATTGTTGAGAACGTGGTGGTGGGGCGGTAAAGAGAAAAATCAGACCGAAAGCTCCACTTACATAGGGGGATAGGGAGTAAGATTCCAGAATGAAAATTAATAGACTAAACTATTCTTGTAATTAACTTCTACATATGAGAAGCAAGGTGTGCACTGAATGTAAATTATTTTTGTCAGCTGCCTGGTAAGACACAAATGACTCTAAAGAACATGGAATAACAACAGCTTCCCTTTTGCTAATCCATCTGAACATAAGATGTTACTGGAAGTATCCTTCTCAAGTTTTCCAGGAATTTTTGTGCTTACCTTTAATTGCCTTAGTTTAATATACGTGGGTATTTTCCAAGAGCAAGCATGATCCACGTTCCACACAGATACCGATCATGAGAAAGGCAGTAGTATTTATGACAGTTTTCCTATTGCATATCCAAAAACCCCAGACTATTTGACTGGGATATGTCAGCAAAACCTTTCCTGCACTAGGTACTGACACGAAAACCTCTCTTGTTTAAATTAAACGTTTCTCTTTGTTTGACTGGCAAATTTGATTACAAGTTTAATTTTTGCATAGTAAAGTTCATCCAGCCATTTTAAATTTCAAATTGGTTTGCACTCCATCATGACCAGCTGAATGCCACAAAAAACCTTTCACGTCATGATCTCATAAATCATAGAGAACAGAAGAAATGCTCTCAGGAGCAGGGTACTGTTGATAAGAGACTTTTCCCTCCGTTGACTGTACTGTCAGCTGTAACTACATGCAAGAGCCCACACTTGCAAATTACACAGAACATGCATCTGAACTACCCTTCCATGAAATTATTTTCTTTGTTAAAATGATAGTCACAGATAGAAAAGCTGAGAAGTGTCTGAAGTTGACCAAGCATCCTTCCTTTCTTTGAGGCAATATACAACCATCATTTCAAAACTCTATAATTAAAAAAATAACCCTTGATGTAGTCCACTGCCAAGCTGCAGATAGTATGCAACATTACTAACCACAGAACGGATTTTCATAGACTATCCATCCACTACATGAATCTGGAAAAGAAAATCCCAAACTATTTTGGACTTGAATTAACTGCAGAATTCATTTCCATGTTACTTACACATAAACCGAGGTCATAAAAATCCTCACTCACAAACAAATTAATGACAATAAGAGGCATTTCAGTTACCAAAGACCTATTTCAATCTGACATCTAAGAATCTGATGTTAGATGGCTGCTGCTCTTTACAGACTGATCATAGTAATTTTACTCCTCTATTGTTCACCAGGACCTCTCATTATATGCACTGTGTGGGTCTAAACCATGTTGAAAGCTACTGGGCACTGTCAAAACTGAAAGAAAAAAGTTACTTGATATACGGACAAAACAGCACACTTTACAAACATCAATGAACATATCACAGCAGTCCTTTGAAATATTCCCACTTTACACATGAGGAACAGTGTATACAAGGAAGATTAAGCAACTCACCCACAGTTACATGAAGTCTACACCCATAGCAAAGAAAGAAAGATTTTCTAAATCTCATTTAGCCCTTTAATAACAAGATATTCTCTCTTTACCATTTGTGGGTGGTGTCTCATCCGTCCTGCCCGCCACTGGTGAAACAAAAAAAAGAACCGAGCACACTGAACTTGAGGAAACAATGGGGCTTACTAAAGGAAAAGGACTTGCACACCACAGTAAATGCTTTTGTCTTCCAAGGTAAGAAAAAATATCAGCACTGCCATTATCTTTAGGGGAGATATGTGTCAGTCAACTATAGCCAGCATAGGTTTTCCACTATACCTACTGAAATGATATTCTGTCTGAGAAAACAACTGTGTCAGTATTGAACTGAAAAGATGAATGATGGCATTAGGATCAAAACCGTAATTCCACAAACTTCTCCTACTTCTCAAGAGATCTGACCTGCTGAAACAGTCCTAATGAGCTGGGCAAGTACTATTTTGTTCATTGGAGCTGGAAGGATCACTGCACAGCAGCAGCAGCAGCAAAGAGTTTTGCAGGAGTGGCTCTTATGATCCACTGCCCACTTTCACTCTCTTTCCTAACCAAGAACAACACAGTCCTTTTTATCCTAAACCAAGGATCTCTCACTGAAGCATGCATAAACGTGTATACACGTATCTAAGCGCGTCCTTCCCAAACAGGTCCATTTTTATTTATTTGCTTTCTAAAGCTGGCAAAACCTGCTTTTTACTAGTCTAATTCAGCTGCAATACATTCACAGCATTGGATTGCTTGGACGGACTAGAAAACAAGGCATGCATTCACCCATAGGTACACCAGTGTATAAACTAGACTCCAGCAGTCCATGCTAGAGGCAGAGCTATGAAGGAAAGGTGACTGACACTGCAGGGGCAAATCAATTG